CAGTAAAATCAAGATTTCAACATGTTTAAAATTTTTTTTTGCTTCGAAACCAAGTGTATATTGTTTTTAGACATCTAAAGTACATTTTAAGTTAAAAAAAAATCGCTTTTTTGAAAATTCTAGAGTAGTGTTACCCCTTAAAGTATACTGTTTCTGATATTAACCTATTAAGTTGTACGCTCGAGTTAACTCGAGCGACGTTGTATTACATATAAAAAAATTGATTTTTTTTTGCCGATTTTTTTCAGAAAAATTGTGCGATAAGGGGTTAATAAACTTTTTATTAATAGTAAAAATATTGGATGATTAATATATATGTTTCAATTTATATATTAAAGAAATATTCAATCATTATTGTTCATCATTTATATGAATAATTTTGATATTCTTTGATGATTTTCATAGGTAATTAAGAGTACGATGTATTAGAAATTTGATAAATAATTTAATATTTAATTCACTCTCTCGAGATATTTTTGTCAATGAATCTGTTTGTTTACTTCAAAGTTAATTAAATTCTAGGCCATCGTTATACTAATCATTACTTTTGCAATTAATTGAGTTAATTTTCAGCTAAAAGAAAACTCTTGACTGTTATCATTCATAAGGTAAAAATAACTTATATACTTACCGATATATTTTCTTTATTTTTTTACGGATAAGATATTCGTTATATAATATTATTATGAGAGAATAAATGATTAACATAATATTTATTTTGCAAATAGAAAATTTATAAATGTTGGTAATGAAGTTTTTTCAGTTTTTGAATAATTATTTTGATTGAAAAGACAACGTAAAAAATTGTAATCATCTTGTCGGTTGCTATAGATTTCTATTCGTTTATTTTTCTTTTTTCTTTTTATTTCAAACTCCACGTGATTTTCCCTCAACTTCAAATTGATAAGATCGATAAGAATAAATTGTCTATATTCTTTGGTTCTCATATCTGCTATCTTAAAAATATTAAATCAATAAGGAAGATAATAAAATTGAAACGTAATAAAAAGAAGAAAGAAATTTTATAAAATTGTATAAAGATGTTTACATGTTTTCCGTTAAAAAAAGAAAATCAATGAAAATAGATAGGCCAAATTATTTGCACGAACATTTATTCCCATAATTAATATTATTTTCAGATATTTTATAAGGAACGCTATTATCAAAATAAAGAAATTATTACAATTTATTGTTGTAAAAAATAATTTAATTCTAATCATAGTCATAAAAAATGTTAATAATAATGCAAACGGGCTCTTGTCCTATACTTTTTAACCAATACTTCTATGAGTAGTTATAATATCTGAAATTTGAAGTATTTTTCAAAATAGAAAAAAATACGATTATAAACACTGTCATATTTACAGTAACTGGTGAGATTCCATTAACTTAAGATTTAAAGCAAAATTAAATATCGGTAAATGCGACTAGCGGAATATTAATATTTGTGCAAAAAAAGAACAGAAAAAGAAATTTCTTTCTGTACAACCTAATATTGATGTATGTATCACTGAATCTTCTCGAACGAAAATTTTACTCCGATTTATCTAAATGATCAACAAATTGGTGAAAAAAAATACCAACACTGAATAAATAAATAGTGACCAAATGACGTGGGTCCGATAACACGTTATGCAATGATACATTGATCTCTGATGTAACAAATACGTATATAAATAAAAATCTAAAAGCAAGTAAGAAAATGAGAGGTGGTAGAAGAAATAAAGGATTGAAAAGAAAGGGGGGAGTATTGGAGGGATAAGGGGGGAAATGGAGAAGAAACAAGTAGAGGGAAAAAAGATACAGCCACGAGACCGCACGTGACGATGTTGCATCTTCTCTTTGTCTTCTTCTCGTGAATGTTCCGATTTACTTCTCTCCTTTTCTCTCATTTTAAGATCAATTTCATGCGGAGGAAGCGTGACCACGAAAACGAGAAATCAAAAGGCCTTTGCACCGACCTCACTCCTTTTCGTCTGTTTTTTTCTTCTTCCTCTTCTTTTTCTTCTTCTTCTCTTATCTCCTACTCGTGCCAGTTCCATTTATTTATTTTTTTTTGTATTTTTATTTGCAAATGTTTTATGTTACATCTTAATACTTGTCACATTCGTTTCGATATATATCTTTTGTTTTCATTCTCATTTTCCCCCCCTCCTCATATTAAATATCAAATTTTGCGGTGCCTCCTCCATTTATTTGAATCGAAGCAAATAAAAATTACGTGATAGATCAGATTTTTTTAACGAAATTTCTTTGTATAATTGAGACATATATTGTGTTGAGTAAATATTTGCATATTTGCAAATTTATAAAATTGGTTGGTTAATTTATAAAATAACTTGGCGTTTTTGTTTGTACATTCAACTTGTACGAAAACTATAACAGAAAAATTACATTTTTCAATTTGTACTTGAATTGCAAAAATCACGTTTTTTCTAAATTATTGTCGAAATATGTTTCAACGTAGTAAATTTAAAGATGTAAAAGAAATAAGAACGGATGTATGAGAATTCATTGTTCACGTTTATTTCATTGTCCTTTTTATAAATTTTGAAATAAATCTTATGGAATCTCTCAGATCAATAGAAAAAATCTATCTCGAGATTAGATAACTTGAGATTGGAAAATCATAGTACGATAAAACATATTTCATGTCTTCGGATTCATAAAGATGCAGTATAGGTAAGTGTTGAAACAAAATCAATGAATATTTCTTTTGTATTTGAAATCAAATTCCTATTTTATATTTAAACTATACGCTTTTAGAAATTCGTCTTCCAGAAATTTAGAAAACTCATTTATAAAAAAAGAGGTCGATATATGAAAAAGATACATTTAAACATAATTGCGTATTGACTTTTGTAACAAGTCTAAATCTTTTCCATTTTATTTTTCTATTTTCCCACGATGCATACCATATTCGTAGTAATTTGCATACACCTACACTCACTCGTGCATATATATTTGAACTTTCGCGTAGGAGAAATAGAAAACATATAATTCGCCTAACTCAATAAGATTTAAAATAAAATTGTATGTTTTAACTTTTGTTTATTTTACCAAATCTTATACACATACTCACACAAATACATATACTTCGAATTTTATGTGTTAATAATACGAATTATGTAAATATTAGGGCAACTGTTAGAGATTAATCCAGGTACTTGGGTTCTATTTGGGAAACTTTAAAAGATACTCAAAATATTGCTAATTACAATTCTGATAGAATTACAGCAATATTAATGCAAATATATTGCATGCATAATCATAAATTAGGAGTTCATTATTATATTAATTTTTAATGGCTGCAAATATTTATAATTTAAAACATTGTTATTTATTATCTATAAATACTGAATTATTGGTACCAGTCAACCAGGTACTTATGCATGACACCATTATTGAAAACAAAACAGAATTTCTATAATTATCGCAAATACAATGAGACTTTGAACTTTGTATTATTAATTCTTATCAATATACAGTCATGAATTTCGCAGTTTTCTTTGTAAGATATTTAATGTTTCGTGACATTAATTTAGGCTATTTGATAATCCTAAGTCGTTCTCTCTTTGATGTTTTTTTAGTTTATAAAAATATTTCATTACAAATTGAATAACTCGTACTTTTCGTTAAATCATAAAAAAAAAGAAATATAAAATAGCAAAAATAATATTTTGGTTCAAAGGTTACAACTGATCGAAAAATATGTTTTACGTTTGCAATGTATCTGCAGTTAGAATGCACCTGCATGACGTCATTCACATCATACAAAACACGCTTACTAATCCAGACTGTTATAACAGTTTTAATAACTTAATTAAAAAGAATATTATATCAAATTAGTAAATAAAAAATGATTTATTATTTGTTTTATACTTTAAAAATATAATTGTTTAATCGCATGGACGTCGTTCACAATTTCTTTGATTAAACAATACTGTAATTATAATCTCTATTTAAAAAAATATTAATTTTAAACTTCTGCGCACTTGTTCGTACATCTGTTCTTTTATTATCAATTAATCCGATTGATCAAATATTTTGAACAAATATTTGAACACCTTTAATCTTTTCCACCATCTTTCGCAAAACTATATACTAATATAATATAATAACCTAAATTCTAATAATCTAAATTATAATAGATAACAATATATAATAATAATCTAAATTCGATGATCTATTTTGAAATCGGTCAAGATACAAGGTAAAAAAATAAATATTGGAAATAAAATAGATTCAAAAATTAGAGCAATTTACCAGTTTAATTAAAGAAGCATTTTCGATCGATTAAATGTTTCTAATAAATATCTGAGCGATTAATCGATTGAATATCTTGAATTCTGATGAATCATTGATATGATCTAAAGTCGATGATCTCAAAATCTATTTTAAGAATATTCAAGATAAAAAACTGAAAGAAAAGAATAAACTATTAAACAATATATATGTGCCCATAATTATGAAAGTGGTCTAAGTCAAAATGAAAAAAATGAGTATTAGTTATTACGCACCACATTATTTTAAACTACATAAATTCAATGTAATTTTCACGATATTATCAAAAATGAATCGTTAGATAATGTTTGTTTTTTCAATACTACATAGAATTCATATAGTGTTCAAGTAGAAATCTTTAAATATCTCGAAACAAGAGATACATGACTTAGACCACTTTCATAATTATGGGCACATATGATATTTATCGAGACTGCAACGTGTGCATACGTGACCAAATACTCGTAGTTGTTGCCTCTTTGATGGCCCTTGGATTTAAATTGAGTTTAAATCCTTGAACAAAATCATAAATGAAGTTCAGTAAATTCGTACGAGTTTTGTCGATGTTCGAGATACAATTTCGACCAATCCGCGTTCGTTTTATATCATTACTCCTTCTCGATCAGTAAAAAGTTCGTATTTCTGACACGTAATGGCGCTAGTGGCGTTTCTCCTTGCTTTAACCATTCCACTCTTCATCAGTCTCCATAGTTCGTAGCTCCGTTTAGTTCGAAACAGTCGTTGTTTGCATTTAGTCGTGGTTACAACCGGTAGTGCCTTCTCCATTCGAGTTTACCGGTCGATCGAAGAAACAACAAGCTTTTTCAAAAAAAGCAAAGGAAGAAAGACGACTAAAATTATTATTCTCATTTTTTTTTTATAAAATATGGCAATAGTATTTCGACCATTTTCAATAATATTCAATTTTTATGAGGAATACATCTAAATCAGGAAGAAAACTTCGTTCAGGTATTTATTATAAATGTTTATATAAAACTATAAAAAATAAGAGAATAAATTAAGAGAGATAAAATATTCTATAAGAAATTACATCAGTAGAAATGATGTAATACAAAAATATAGTCGTTAGAGAAAAAAGGGAAGCTAGCTTCTCATCGCTTCTGTTTCTCGGAAGAAAAGGAACGGGAGATGTCTATATAGAAGTTTCCAGCGTTTAGTTAACGAGTGTAGTATATACACACATGTACTATAGTCATTGCCTACTTGCATTCCCTGCTTCATGATTTTTTATTATATCAATTGACCACCCTAACTAGAAGTTTCGACATCGTAGAGTCTAATTTGTCTTGCGTTAAACAATGTTCGTTCGAACGGGGTCGATCGAAACGTTATTCACCGTGTCTGCAGTGCCGTATCATCGAGATTCGAGTACCTTGTATTTTCCATTTTATTTTGTTTTCTTTTTCTTGAGAAAACAAACAACAAAGTTTGAAATACTAGAACGCTTGTTTCTAAATTTAAAAATTTAAATATTAATGACAAATATTTTATGTGCTTTTGTTATTATTTACAATATAATATAAACATTCATTTAATTGCCTTTTTTTTTTTCACTGAGAATAACACCCACAACTCGCCAAATATCTTACGAGACAAATTGCAGGGTAATATTTGGGAGTTAAATAAACAAAAAATAATTTCGTTGAATATGAACGAAACACGTTCAACGTTTCGTCCTTTTATTAAGACTTCTTCAGCAACTCGATCAGTTGATGTTCCCCGAGTCTTCTATGTATTACTAAGCATACATTATATAATTGTAACACATATACTAGACCTAGTACCAATAAATCATGATTAATTAAAAAATTCGTTTGTAACGTCAAACATGTTTGATTTAATTTTATGATCAAAACAAATATGTTCTGATTTTTTTACCTGTTCAACTTCTCTATAATACGAAGTTCTTTTTTTTTATAAAAATGAAAATTTCAGTACCATAATAACCATCATATTTTGGTTATCTCTTACGCGAGACATTAATAATTATTTTCTTTCAAACAAATAACGAAGTTGAAAGTATAAGAACGTTTGTAGAACGTTTGTAGAACGTTTGTAGAATTCTGAATTTGAATTTCTCACCCGCGTTACCTTGATTACGAAAGTCACGATAAATAAAAAATTTTTAGAAAACAACTTTGTTTACAAAACATCCACATGATGGATGTGATTCCATATAAATATAAATTGTGTAGTGCTGGTATGCTGTTATAGAGTCGGTCAATTCCGAAGGGGGATTTCGCATGTAGGTAACATACTACGTATAATATACACACATACATATATACCGCACACCATTTGTGAGATAGTTAAAAAATGTATAACTATTGCGACGTAGGTAGAAGTCTTAGTAATTGCTGAGAAAGAGTCAGTCAGTCAGTATATATAATCAGATTCGTTCTTGATAAACTGGTTTTTCGCCAATGTGATCTTTACATTTTCACAAGTATAATTCCGTTACTTTTTCTTTTTGCGTATTTTATATGTTAATCGTTCAAAAAAAAAAAAAAGCTTAGAATTTATATCTTCGTTTTTTTTCTTTTTCTTATTTAATTTTATTGTCTTCTCTCTCTCTCTCTCTCTCTTTCTGATGAAATTTATATTTTAAATTTATTTTATTTTATACTTTTTTTTCCAGTTATTTTTTGTTTTGTTTTTTTTTTCATTATATATTTCAAATGTATGAAACACTACAAATGTTTAAGTTCAACAAGGATAACGAATTAGAGCCGCTATACATGTAAACAAAAAAAAAATCGAATTTTTTTTTCATAAATAGTTTTACCATCTTAAAAATATGCCTGTAAATTTTTAGAATAAAATTCGCATTATTTATCGATTAAAAATTCATTTAAGTATTCCGCCTCAACTCGGCACTAGACGCGAACGCTAAACTTTGAATGCGTTTTTCTCGAAACGACTTTTTTCAAACTATGGTGACAGATAACTCAAAAAGTTCTTAACCGATTCTTATGAAATTTAGCACACATTTTCTTTATAGTATTAGCTTCTAGTTGAACTTCCAAAATGCCACAAAAATTATCAAAAATTGCTATTTTTGACCTGAAAACCGTTTAAAAAGGGTAAAAAATCAGACTTTTTGGTCTGAGTCGTACCGATTTACCATTTTTTTGACTTTTTAGTTTTTCCTTAGTTCAACTAGAAGATACATGTTTTATGAACACGCTCCGACAATTTTTTTAAATTTCTGATTGCTGTAACTAAAACTAAAAATCACCAAGCTTGATGCGTTTCGTCGCGAGGGCCTCAGGAGATTGGTTACTACAGCAGCCATTTTGAAAAAAAAATCAGATTCTTATATTTTAATATGTAATGAATAAACATGCTGAGTTACAAAACGATTCATTTATTCCTTCCATTTTAAATAAGCCTCTGAAAACCGGTAATAATTTAGGAGTTTACATGTATCGCCGACCTTAAAAGCAAATTATATATTATATATTATATGTATATATATATATATTTTATTTTATATATATATTTGCGAATAAAAAGCGATTTATCACTTGAGGTTAACGGATTCAACGGATAGGCTATCGAAACTTCTTGACGGTTCTTTTATTTTATTTTATCTTATTTTATATCGGTAAAGATCGTTCGCAATCCGCGAGGTTAAGAGCTAATCTTTCCAAGATTTATTTCTAAGTTTTTAATCACATGATTGTTATATCTTTGATCTTTGCTCTTGACATTTACCCTTATTTCCAACCTGTTGTTTTAATAATTACATATGTTAAAACCAATATTATTTTTAATTTTGTTTAGAAGAAGAAAAAATCGTGGATATATCATCGTAATTTAATGTAAAAAGGACTTTGGAGAAAAATTGAAAGAGATCTAGCTAACATTAAGTTCAGATCAGATCAGATTCAAAGAAGCAAGAAGAAGTGGTGGTGGTGGTGAAGGGAATAGCAGAGAAGAAGAAAAAGAAAATAAAAATATAGATTTCCTTGATCTTTATCCATATACGTGAAACAAGAATGGAAAACGTTTCGCGAATTTCTAAGGAAGAAACAACCATCATAAAAAGAAAACCAGCAACCCTCGTACGACGAGTTTCCAACATGCTTAAAGGTAAAAACAAAACAAAAAGTGAAATACAAAGTAAAAAGAATAAGAAAAGAAAAATAAAGGTTTAACCTTCGATTCGTTCATAAAAATCCAATTATTTTGCAAAAACGTATTAATATTTTATCATCGAACTGAGTTATCGCAAAAATTGACGTATCTCTGCTAACATGATGTAACCGCGAGTATTTTCATAAACTCATTTATCTTTTTCGCGTACCCACCTCTCCTCCGATCTCGGTTCGTTCATTTTTCCTTTTAATCTTTCTTTCTTTCTTACTTTCTTTATTAATTTTATTTATCTTTTTCTGGTTTGTTTGTTACAGATGGAAATTATAGCGGACCACCGTTACTCTTTCGAAACGCATCGATGCGAAAACTCCGCCATTGCTGCCAGAATATGAATCTTTTTCCATATCTTCTTTATTCATACGATAACTCAAAGTCCCATCCGGTTGCAAAAAGGGTGAACATATGTATCGGCGAATTGGTACGAAGCCTCGTTAAACGATCCTTATATTTTTACAAATTTATACAATATATAACTTTGCACAACGACAATAACAACAATAAGGATAGCAACGTTATTGCTAAAAAGATTTCAATCGAATTGAAGAAAGATAAAACTAAGGAACTTGGCCTAGTCGAAGATGAACGAAAATCAATAACCAAATTCCAATGTTTCCAACGTCAGAGACGAAGTCAAATTTCGATCTTTTTTACAATTGCTGTTTATCTAGTACCATTAATATTAGCCTTGCAAATGGTTTTACTTTATTCTTTATTGATGATCGAAAAGTACACGCCCGGTTTTGTTTTCCTCGTGAGCGCCCTTATGGTTTTGGCCGGCGTAGCATCTAGAATTTTCTTCCACGAGAGTAAAACCATAAAATATTCAAGAAGCAATGCTGCATTAGATAATAAAAACAATAGGATTATCAAAGAAAAGAAAATTAAGTGATATATTTATGGATTATGAAATGATTCATTTAAGCAAATAGATATTACTATGCTATACGGCCAAAATCTTCGTCAGACAGTGAAACGATTGAAGAATATCAACGACTAGACTCTCGAAGGTCTTGGCCATTTTTGACTCGAAACGAAGCTTCGATGGTTCGAATATAATACGGAGAAAGAAAGAGAAAACACGCATAAAGAGTAGATAGATAGGTTATTAACAACACGTTGAGAGCTACGCGAATTCTTACGGAAATCGGCATCATGTCACGTGCGCTACTTTGTATTATAAAAACAGTTGAACGTCAGTCACTGGCGATTGACACAGTTTATATGGAGAGTATTATTATTATTAAGCATCTCTGTGCTTGACGAAAAACTTTGATTTCAAGTCGCGTCAGGCGCCGGTGCCTGACGCTCGACTTTTCGTTTAACCGCATTAGTCACCGGTGATTGACAGTATAAAATATAACATAAAACTAAAAAAATTTTTATTTTTTTATGCAATTACTAAAAATTTATTTAAAATTTGCTTAATTTTTATTTATTACAGAATTATATCATTTATTTTTTTATGGATCTTATTGAAACTCGATAAAAATTGTTGTTCTAAAATAAAAAAAAAATAATTCTTATATATTTACTTATTTGCATCGAGTAAATATCAATCTGTTAGTAGTGCGTTTCGTATTGCTATAATATCAGTACTTTTAAGCAGCGCGCGTGCACTGACGAAAATTTCCGTAAGAATTCGCGTGGCGCTCAACATGTTAAATATAGATAAATGAATATCCCGAATAAGTGGTTCCTTTCAACGAGAGAATTGACGGTGAATTTCTTATAATTGTATTTTAAATTTATCTTTCTAACTTTCACCGTCACGTACTATCGCATTTCGTTAATTTTTTTTTCTTTTTTTTAAATTTCTTTTTTACGCATAATATATGTATAATGTATATACTATAGATATATTATATGCATATATATATATATATATATATATATATATATATATAT